GAAAGAGCAGCCTGACTCATCTTCCTGAGTTCAAATCTAACCTCAGACACTTAGCTAGTTATGTGACTCAGGGTAAGTCATGAACCCTGTTTGCCTCAGTTTCCTAATCTGTAAAATGAACTGGAGAAGGAAATGGCAAACCACTCCATTATTTTTGCCAAGAAAAACTCCAAATGGGGTCACAGAGTCAAACATGACTGAAAAAAGACTGACCAACAAACAATAATGCAAAAAGAGCAACTATATGACAATCAAAACTAAATACCTTACAAAATTATAAAAAATAAGCATGGCTCTAAATAAGAGATATGAGAAGCATCCCTATCCCACCCCTTTGCAGAGCTGGGTTCACAAATATTGAACATATTTTCAGACTCTTTTGCAGAATCCATCAGTTTTGCTGATTTTTTTCTCTTCTTGAAAAATATTGTTTATCCTATTGGATGGCTTTCTGGGATCACACACAATTTAGCAGCCACTACTATAAAGGAGCAGAGAACTTGGACTATAATATTCCATAACACAAAAAATATAGGCTTAAAGGGAAGAATAACTTACCCAGCAAAACTAAGTATAATGTGGGGGGAGGGAGAGATGGATTTTTAAATGATAAAAAACATTTCTCTAAGTATTTCTTACAAAAAGACCTGAGTTGCATAGAAACTCTGAAGTTTCCAGTGGAGTGAAGAGAAACATAAAACAACAAACACAAATGAACAATGATAAAGGAACTCTGAAGTTGCAATACTTGACATCCATGACACTTGTGTCCCCTCTGAACCCTATCAATAGCATCAGAAGTCAGAGAGGGAGTCTAAGTAGATGAGGGTAGGAATGGTTTTTGCTATGTCTTGATGACCTTCAAAAGAACAATAGAAGAGACTGGAAGAGGAATACACTAGAATGGGGGAGGGGAGAAGGAAAAGAATGTTAGGGAAAATTATCTCACATAATCAGGGTGAGCAAGTAAACATCTCTACAAACGAAGAAAGGGTAAGGGTGGCTGACACATCAACCTCACTCTTATTTGAATTAGTCAAAGGAAGGAACACATGTGCCCATGCATACACACATGTACATAAACACATTTCATTCCACTGGCAAATAAGAAAGAAGGGAGAAAGGAGAATTAAAAGGATGGCAGATTTAAGGGAGGGATTAGCCTTAAGTAAAACAAACTAACAAAAATATACAAAAACATTTATAGGGCTTTTTGAGAAGGCAAAAAAATGGAAATCTGAAGGGGTGTCAATAAATTGGGGAATGGCATGGTATTTACCTTGTGATGGAATCCTATTGTGCTGTAAGAAGTGATGAGCAGGCAGATGTCAGAAAAACCTGGAAAGGCTTACATGAACCAATGCTAAATCAAGTAAGCAGAATCAGGAGAACACAGTAACAGCAACACTGTGCAATGATCAACTGTGATGGACTTAACTCTTCTCAGCAATACAATGATCCAAGACAATTCCAAAAGACTCATGAGAGAAAATGCAATCCACGTCCAGAGAAAGAACTATGGATGCTGATCAGAGCATACTATTTTTACTTTTTTTTTCCTTCTTGTGGTTTTCCCTTTTGTTCTGATTCTTCTTTCACAACATGACTAATGTGGATATATGATTAATGATTGCATATATGTAACATATCAGATTGCTTGCTATCTTGGGTAGGAGGGTGGGGGGGAATGGAGAAAAAATTAGAACTCAACATGTTATCAAAGTGAACGCAGGAAATTGTTTTACATGTAATTGGAAAAAATAAAATGCTATTAAGTGGAAGGAAGGAAGAAGGAAGGAAGGAGAAAGAGAAAGAAAGAAAGAAAGAAAGAAAGAAAGAAAGAAAGAAAGAAAGAAAGAAAGAAAGAAAGAAAGAAAGAAAAAGAAAGAAAGAAAGAAAGAAGAAATGAAATGGAGAGGGCTTCAGAGAAACATGGGAAGACTTGTGTGAAGTGAACAGAAACAGAAGAACAATTTATACAATGACAACAATAAGGTAAAAAGGCAAACAACTTCAAAAGAATTAGGAACTCTGATCAAGTAACAATTAACTACAATTCCAAGGAATTGTGATGCTACCCACACAGCCTGACAGGCCACACCTAAGGTGTAAAGGACTCAAAAGTGCTGTTGTTACAAAAGATTTAGTAGCGGGTAGAAGGAGATGAACTAAAGAGAAATAACTAGTGTTTTTAAAAAGGCAACAACAGGGGCAGCTAGGTGGCACAGTAGATACAGTGCCAGCCCTGAAGTCAGGAAGACCTGAGTTCATATCCAGCTTCAGACCAAAAACCTGACATTTGCCAGTTGTGTGATCCTGGGCAAGTCACTTAACCCCAATTGCCCCCCCCAAAAAAGAAAAAAGCAATGACAAAAAACCCATTTTTAAAAATCAGCTCCTAGCCAACTATAGAAAATGTGGCCACTTTTTTATAGTATCATTTTATAGGCTCTATCATCACCTAGATTAAGCAGATCAATGTTACATCACATTTGTTCTCTGTATTCTTTAAAACTTCCATAAACACTGCTAACTTTTATTAGCTACTCTTTCAGTGCTTTAGGCAACTCCAAGGCTATAAGTTGCTGATGAAGTACTGACCTGCAGTGGCAAAGAGAATTTCCTCATACAGTGGTTCTCTTCCATAAGGTACTCTCTAAGTCTAAATCCATAAATCTATGATGCTTTATCAATGAAATCACAGGTCCTATCTCTATCCTTACATATACAAGAAATAAGGTGAAACTACACTTTAGGAATGTATAGCAGTGACAATATTCATGCCCAGAGGCATACACCTACATAACGTTTATGGCATTTTTAATACATACTAACCAAACCCTACTACATTATTCTGAAGTTCCACCTCATTCAGCCAACTGTAGAATCAAGTTATAGCACTCTCAAAATAGCACCACTTCCAGCATAGACCTCTCTTGTGTACCCTTGACTTAAATCTTATTAGCTGAATGTTATAGTGAAACTTCAAGACATTACATTAGGGTCAAGATATACAACTACTGAGTGCAGCTTGAATCACATTAAAATGTAAGTAGGAAAAAGATAATGTAAATTTGTGGCTAAGTCAGCATGTGGCCTGCGGAATCCATTTCTTTTTGAGTCTGGCATAACTACAGTAGGGTACAGATTAGAAATTAGTAAAAAAGGGGAGGATTCCAACATTTGGAAAACCTTAGACTTTACTACTTTTTTTCAAAGGTGAATGAGAAAATATCACTAACTACTGGTCTACTTTCCAATCTCTTCAAAATCTTCATGGGAATAATCTGCATCAAGAACATCTTTTATGAAGGTCAGTATGAAGACAGTAGGCAAGTTTTAAAATTACACTCTGTAGTAGAATGAGTTTTACATGGACAAAACTGTCTGACAGAGGAAGAGATATAAGATCCTAATGTGACTATTGGCTGATTGACTAAAACAAACATTTTACTATGTAGAGCAAAACAGTACCTTTAAAGGTTCCTAAGCTTTTTTCAATATATATTTTCACTTTTGTAGAGCAATTCAATGTAAGGAATATAACTTCCTACTTTCAATATTTTGTAGCTGTCAAATACACACCTAATTTCATTTTATAATGGTGTTAACTTGGTTATGTTAAAATAACACAAGATTCCTTGAAATATATCACAACAGAAATACTTGTATTTGATTATCCTCTGACTAAATGCAATGACAAATGATGAGGACAGATGATCAGCTTTCTATTCTCTGTATGGGAGTAATGAGGACTACAAACAATAAATGAAAAAGACAACTTGACTGTTTCTTTTAAACAAGGGAGAACTCTATAAGGATGGAGAATAAGGGATATAGTGAAATAACTGTGGTGTAGAAAAAAAATATGAGGCATTAGTAGTACAACTTTTTTTTAAAGCAACAGTAGAAGTCACTGAGAAAATTTGGGAGTGATATGTTTAAAAAAAAAATCAGGGTCCTAAGAATCAATTTACCAAGGAATACTCAAGATATATAAATACATTTACAAGGATTCAAAATACAAAGGCATATGCTCCTACTTCTTTGCAGTGGTAGGGGACCACTGTGTATGACTTTAATACTTTTTTAATATACTAACTAATTTTGTTCAACTTTCTCCCCCTTTTATTCTTCATTATAAAGAATAATTTATCAAGACGGGGATGCTGGAATATTCTGGGAAACGTGATATAAAAACAAACGATATCAATAAAAATGTATTCAGTAAAAAAAAATACATTCATAAAACTGTCTTCACACAAATAAAGAACTTGATTTTAGGGGCAGCTAGGTGGTGTAGTGGATAGAGCACCAGCCCTGAAGTCAGGAGGACCTGAGTTCAAATCCTGCCTCAGACCAAACACTTGACACTTACTAGCTGTGTGACCCTGGGCAAGTCACTTGCCCTCAACTGCCCCCCCCAAAAAAAAACCACACTTGATTTTTAAAAAATACATATTATTTAGCTAATCCATCTGAGGTACAAATAACAAAAGTTATTCACTTTCCAAGACAGAAGCTTTAGCATAATTCACACAATTCAGCCCGGCCACTCTAATGAGCCAAAAGCAACCCTCCTTAGCCCAACACAACACTACCCTAGTCAGCTCTGGTCTACTCGGCTCTTTCCCAGTGTCTGTACTCCAGATTCAGGTCTCTGTCAGGTGCTCATCTTGAGCTTTTATAATTTAAATTTTAGTCATTTAGGAATACATCTCTATTTATAATACTACTGTGGAACTTTCTGTATAACACTGGTGCCCTAATGTTGTTTTTTGTGAAACTAATATCTTGTAGAGTTCCTGGGAATGACTCTTAAATAAACATTGTTGAATGAAACTGAAACAATAACAATTACATTACGTGGGATATGCCTGTGTTCAATCTTTTTATTATTATTATTATTATTCATAAATCGTGTCCAAGGTGTCATTTATATGTGTGAATTACCAAACATATTACTATATCACAAGTCCCTGTGATAATTCATAACTTACTTGCTTCTGTTTTAGAAACCTGCTTCTGTAGAAAATCAACTATTTGAGCCAAAACTTTTTTATTACGATGTGCTGATAATTCTTCATCACATTCATAACACCTGAAAAAATATAAAATTTAAATGAAGCCGATAAAAATACCTCAATATTTTTGAACAGCTGATGGTAGCAAAATTATTTTTCATCTATACAGTTTGAAGATGAAAGTAGATGTGAAATGAAATATCTTTTTCAAATGAAAATTCATTTTAAAATCTTTCAAAGTGAATTGATAAATTGATTAGGTTCTCAGATGTTCAATCCTAGTAGTGATATGGGAGAAAAAGCACTAACTTTAGTTAGGAGGCACTGGATCTAATTATGGATCGACCATTTCTACCTATCTGACTATGGGAAAATCACTTTCTCTGTGCTTCAGTTTTTTAATTTGTAAAATGGAAATAGCTCACAGGGGTTGGTTGGTTGCTGAGGAGATCAAAACTAAAAACAGATGTAAAGTTCTTTGTAAACCACAAGTATCAATTATTATTATTATTATTATCCTGATCTAACTTTAGTATTCAAAGCAAAGGCACCTACTGAGTGGTTGTGGAATAGTGGAAAGATTAGTGGATTCGAAGTCAGAACATACAATAACAATTCCTGGCTCCAGTACTTACTCCAGTATAACCTCAACCTTTCTAGGCCTCACTTCTCTCACCTTTAAAATGGGAGAGTGACTGGACTAGATGACCTCTAAAGTCCCTTGTAATTCTAAATCCTATGGTCCTATAGCAATGCAAGCTCATTCTATAAACCAATATAAGGCTCATTATTTTCTTTCAGGCCTAATAAAAGTACTCAATAAACTTTACTTACCATATAACCCATGTGCTAAGATTGATAATGATACAGTGGGGTTCAGTGCGGGAAGTCTGGAAGTGTTTCAAAGAATGCTGGCCTTCTGAGTTTTGACTACATCCCTAAAGATCAAAAGAATTCCACTTTATTATGTGGATTAAGAGCCTTGATTTCAAATCAATTTTACTTTCTATCAGATGTAAATTTAAGTGAGATAATTATTTTTCTTTTATAAAGTAGGAAACTGCTTCAAAAAATTTCTTATCAACTTTACTTCTTATCTAAAGACTGGTTTTTTGCATTAAGTGTCTACTATGTGCCAAGCACTGTGCTAAGTGCTTTACAAATATTATCTCATTTGATCTTCAGCCCAATTAAAATCTCCGAATGTAAATGGCCAGTGACTTAGAACTTATGTTCCAAAATTCATCTCCTATAAACTCCTTAACTGTGAAGTCTTATCACAAAGGTAAATACAGTGGAAGTAAACAGATGCCAAATGATACATTTTTAGAGATCAGTATTTAAGAGAACGAATTGGAAAAAGCTGATGCAGCTACCGGGGGGTAAATTAAGTTGAATAAACAAATCTAAGAGAAAGATTTCCTCTAGAGAAACAAATAAAGCCTTCTTCTACTGCTCCAGATCCAATCCTAGGAATGGACTCTCTATGATGGTATTAACATAATCATAAGAATACTTCCTCACCCATGGGTAAGCTTTTAAAAATCACATTTTCCATTTCACATTGCAAAATGTTTTTCTAGACCCAAAGAATTTATTCTGAGAGCCTTTTGTCTATGTAAACATTAAACATAGCTTAAGTTGTATAAAACTAGTGACATGCCCTAAATGACACATGTTTATCTTTTCAAATTATTAACTTCTTATATATGTAACATTTTTCTCACCTGAAAACCACACCTGAGGCACAACCAAATATCAGGTTTTACTGATGCTCCATCACAAAAACTTCTTTCCTTTAAACATTCTGAACAAACTGACCACAAATTCTGAGCTACTGCTCTCTTCACATGGTGGACACTAACAGCTTGACTTACATGCTGACAAGTTAAGCCTGCTAAAAAGAAACTCATTATTTACTAGATGTGAATATTAAAAAACATTTTTCCAAAAGCAGACCTTTGAGTAATTTTTAAAAAATAAAATCTCCACAACAACCAAAGTTGATTAAAATATCTAGATTGTATTTGCTAAGATTTAATGATTGAAACAATGAAATATCTTTTTTCCCCATTCAAAACATATATTTAAAATCTCATTGCAAAGAATTCTGTATAACAAATCTACTGGTTTCAGTATGGGGCAGGAGAGAACAGTGCAAATATTAACCATCCATCACAATTTAATTTTTTAGCTTTAAAAGCATTAAACATGAGTAATATTTTCCTCCTTCCCTCAAAATCTTCTTTTGGTCACAAATGTTATAATTTACCAGCAATGTCATCTGAAGAGTCTTCATCCAGAGGGGTATTAGGCTTTCTGTTTCTTCTGGTTTTTTCGGAAACAGCCCTAGATGGATCTTTCACCCGCATCTGTTACTTGCTGAGGAGGGGAGGAAAAAAAGTAAGTTACTCCACATTCAACATTTCTTCTCATCTATAAAAAGGAGTTAAAAATTTTGAGATGTATAAATAAGATTAATATCCTATCAGGCATCAGAGTCAGGCCTCAATGGGGCTTGACTCTACAAATTAAGTATTTTCTGTAACCAATATTGAGAGGTTAGATACTCTACTCTAATTGAGGGGGAAAATGCATATCTTAAACGTCTATAGCCATGAAAGTCTTCAAAATGTTATCTATATGCATGCCCAAACTTGACATATTCCACTCTGCAGATAAGGGGTTTACAGGCTATTTTGTTTTAATTCCACTTTTCTAAAACGAAAGCTGTAAAAAAGTTAGAATTTTAGAGACTTTAAAAACTCCTCAGAACATCTTAAAACTTCCTGAAAATCACCCACAAATAGTTCTTATATCTTTTTGATCAAAGTGTTTTATGTCTGGCATCTTCTAGCATATTAAAAGTTTGGATTTATTTTATTTTTAAAAACTGTATCACCATGACATAAAACCAAATATGAGCCATGTAAATTATTTTTCATCTATAATTCTGATTACTCATGTAAAGACATGTCATTCCTTTATATCCTATATTAATTTTTCTTCTACATTGCTTCATTTTATAGTTCCTAAATATATATTATAATCCTTTCACTATTAGAAAATCAGGCTTATAGACATTAACAGCTACTTATCATCAATCTCCATAAAAAATCTCCTTTGACACCACATTGTGGTAAACTCTACTGCCAAAGCTTGTGTCAGCACAGCAAAATATAAGGAGGCATATTCCCAAAAGGATGGACACTAAAAGGTAATCTTTTTGGCCACAGCAATCTCCCAAATAGATGGCAATTTATAATTATAAAACACAAATTCTATGGTATCAAAAATCTCAGAGATGCTAGCAGGGGTGGGAACCTGCAGCCTGGAAGCCACATGTGGCCTTCTAGGTCCTTGGGTGCAGCCTTTTGACTGAGTCCAAGATTTATAAAACATATCCTTTTATTAAGGGGATTTGTTCTGTGAAGTTTGGAGTCAAAGGGCCACACTTGAGGACGTAGAGGGCTACATGCAGCTTTGAGGACACAGGTTTCCCATCCCCATTAGTCTTCATTTTTTATTAAGAGGGTACAAATGTTTTGCTTTTACCATTCAGAAATGTCTTTATTTTTAATTGTCCTGATTTCCTGTCAAGATGAGTGGAGAATAGCCTAATGTATATACATACATTCCAGAAAAAATAAAATTAACACCAGACCAAATATAGATTAAGAAATAAAAGAAATAAACTATAATAAATACTTTTACCCAGTTCAGTACTGGCAAAAGAGGACACCTAGGACTTCAGTCAACTAAGGAAGGGGTCCAGTCAGAAGAGCCTGGGAGGCAAGCTCATTGCTGGTAGGCCTCAGCCCTAGCTCAGACAGACTTAAGTGCTCCAGTAGGAAGCTCCAAAGCGGTCAAGCACTACCCTGCAGAGGACAGGGAGTGGGAAGAGATTGTAAAACACTAGGTAAAAAGTCCTAGGACTGTTAGGCTTCGGTAAAGTTCTGGCCCTCAGCCTGAACTTGGGAACTCTCAAAAGTTTGTAGCAAGCTGATATGAGTTGCCCTAATAGCCTCAAAGAGCTTAGCACAGTTCTGGAAAGATATAGGTGAGCCTGGCAGCTTCCAACACTTTCTGCTGATAGGGCCAGCAATAAGACCCCAGACAATGATCATCAGGACCAAATAGCCCACTATTCCACTGAAGTATACAGGCACAGTTAAAACCAAAAAGTTATAATTCAGGATGAAAAGCTGCAATTATAAATATGCAGAAGACACCAATAATCAAGAAATTTTATGTAACTAGGAATATCCAGAACACAAGCCTAATAAAAAAGAATAAGTCCACAGCTACCATGAAGAGAACCTCAGAACTATATTTCAAGATATCATAAATGAAATACCCTAAATCTATCAAAGCAAAGGACTAAGTGAAAATGTAAAAATTCCACCAGCAACCTCCTCAAAGAAACCTCAAAATTAAAATCCCCAAAATCCATAGTCAAAATCCATAGTTTTCAGGTCAAAGAAAAAATACAGAAAGAATTCAAGTACCAAGGAACCACAGCATGGTCAGGATCACAAAAGATTTGACAGCTACCAAGTAAGGACCACAGATGCTGGAATGTGATCATCAAAAGGGGGAGAAAAAAGACTTATACTGAAGAATAACTTACCCAGATAATAATAAAGAATAACTTACCAATTCTACAGAGGAATAAATGGAGCATTCCTGAAGAAAAGATCAGAAAGGAATAGAAGCTTAGAAATGCAAACAGCAGTTAAGAGAAATCACAGAAAGAAAAACACATTAAAGCAACTAGAAGGGAATGAAGTGTAGACATTCTAATAAGAGAAGAAACAAATATCCCCTTAGTACCCGAAAGTCTTCAAGAATCATAAAGAGATTTAAATAAGACAAAAAAGAGGGCCTAGGAGCAGTTTTATTCTGACTTGAAAGTAGGTTTCTGAGCAAGGAACACTGGGTTGTTTCTATGAAGACAGTAAAACTTTTGGCTCGTGGATTTTGTAAAACAGGTACAAAACTTTGCCCATGAAACAAATTTCCTGAAAGCTAGAATGGTACAGACAGAAGCCAACGACTCCATGAAACAAGAAATATTAAAAATAAAGTCAAAAGACTGAAAAAAAGAAAATGTAATGTATTATATAGTAAAAACAAAAACACAAAACAAAACATAAAACTAACCAAATAAACAGACTGAGGAGCAAATATTTAAGAATCATTGGAGGCCATGACCAAAACAAGAGTTTAGACATTACATTTTAAGAAGTCTTATCTCTTAGATCCAGAAAACAATGTAGAAACAGAAAAGATTCACTGGTTATCTCCTTAAAGAAATCCCCAAATTAAAACTCTTAGGAACATCAGAGTCAAAATCCATAATTTCAAGATCAAAGAAAAGATACTGCCAAGTAGCCACAAAAAATTAATTCAAGCACCAAAGAGCCACACACAGTCAGGATCACAGAAAACTCAGCAGCCTCCACCATAAAAATGCAGAGAGAGAACATAATATTCCAAAAGGCAGAGGAAACAGACTTACAGGCAAGAATAATTTAGCCAGCAAAACCGAGTATAATGTTATAGGGGCAAGATGGACCTTTAATGAAATAGAAGACTCCACACATTCCAGAACACCAGAGCTGTGTAGAAACTTTGACACAGAAATTAAACACAGAAATAAAGAAACATGAAAAGGTAAACAACAACGAACAATGTTAAAAGACTAAAGGATAAACTGTTTACATTCAAATATAGGGAGATGATTGAGTCCCTTCTAAATCTTATTATCATCAGGGGACATAGAGAGTCTAATTAAACAAGATTTGGGAGTGGTTCTGTTATAGCTTTATGATCTTTAGGGGGGAAGGAGGAATACAATGGGAAGGGAGGAAAGGAAGGTTAGGGAAATTTCTCTCACTTAATCAGGGTGTACAAGTAGACATCTACACAAAGAAGAGGAGATTTGTAGAGGTGGCTGACACTTAAACTTCACTGTCATCTGAGCTGGTCAAAGGAAATAAGAATACAAAATACATAAAGAGTTGGGTAAAGAAATATATTTTATTCAATGAGAAATAGGATGGAAAGAGAAAGGGAAAGTAAGACGGAGGGTAGATTAAAGAAAGGATTTGTCCTAAGCAAAACAAACACTAAGGATAGATCTTTTTGAGGCAAAGAATGGAAATCTGAAAGGGTGCTCATAAATAATAATGGAGGAATAAGTTATGGTATATAAATGTGATGGAATACTATTGTGCTCTAAGACAGTGGTGTCAAACTCAAAAAGAAATTCATCCCTGAGGTCCCACATTGATTTAAAAACCAATACATCAGAGGAGCCAAGATGGTGGAGTAAAAGCAGCGACTTGCTTGAGCTCTCCCCCAAACCCCTCCAAATACCTGTAAAAAAATGCCTCTAAACAAATTCTAAAGCAGAAGAACCCACAAAAAAGACAGAGGAAAACAAATTTCTAGTATAAGACAACCTGGATGGTTGACTGGAAAGGTCTATTGTGGCTGGCGGGGGAGAGATACACAATTGGGTATGGGCACACAGGCAAAACAGGCCTCAGCAAATCTGGAACAGACCTTAAGAGGACTGAATCATGGGCAGCTGTGGCAGTTTCCAGACTTCTCAATCCATGAATGCCAAAGACAACTTAGAAGATCAGTAAGAAAAGAATGTGACTGAGAGAGAAGCTCAGTCGCAATCCCAGTCTTCAAGAGCGGCCCTGGGGCTGCGGCTGCTTCTAGAGCTTCTGGCCCACAGACTGAGGTGGAATCGAGTGGCTGATCAGAGGGGGATTTGCAGGGATTTATTTGCTGGTGCTGAGGCAGGATTCTCTTGCTTTGCCCGGGCTTAGATCTACCGTCACTCAGTGGCGGTCCTGGAGCAAGAAGCAGTGCTGGTGTGGTGGAGCTTGTAATGGTGGTGAAGAGCTAATCCTCCTTGCAGTTCCAAGGCAGAAAAGAGTGCTTGTGGTCACTCGTAGACTAGAGCACAGGCCAGGAAAGGAGTAAACACCTTGCCCCTTATCATATCACCTTGGAAGAACTAAAAACTTACAAGTCCCTAGAAGTATCTCTGAAAACAGCCGCACAAAGTCCTTGAAGCTTGGGATGGTACACCCTCCACACTGGGAAGCAGATCCCTACCTTAACAAAGAGTTTATAACTCAAGTTACTGGCTGGGATCATGAGTAAAGCTCGCAAAAAAAAAAAAGTCAGACCATAGAATCTTTCTTTGGTGACAAAGAAGATCAAAACATACAATCAGAAGAAGACAACGAAGTCAAAGCTCCTACATCCAAAGCCTCCAAGAAAAATATGAATTGATCCCAGGCCATGGAAGCGCTCAAAAGGGATTCTGAGAAGCAAGTAAGAGAAGTAGAGGAAAAGCT